GTACCAACACATGTGTCAAAACCAACTGACACATGTCAATATCAAAAGACATGTATCAATACCAACTGATGTGTTTTAACCAACTGACGAGAGTCAAATAAATTGTCATGTGTCAACACAAAATGTTATGTGTAAATTCCTACATCAAATGACATGTGTCAATGCCTACAAACATAAGTCAGCATATAATGACACTACCAGATAGACACATGTTTACATATCAGTTACATATATTCTGATAGCTACAAGTGTCAACATGAAATGACAAGTGTCAATGCCTACAAACACAAGTCAGCAAATAATGACACTACAAGACAGACACATGTCTACAATTAGACATATTTTGATAGCTACGTAAGTGTCAATACTTACTGATGATTTTTTTTCTTCAAAGAATATATAAGTCAACACATGAAAACACATGTCAACACGGGTAAACATGGATTTTCCTATATTGTAATCATGTAGCAGGTGTTAAAATATTATACACACTTAATGTGTATTTCACAAAAAAAGCACGAGTTATCTCCCTTACATTATATTTTTGCAACATTTAAAGTTATCAGGTTAAAAATAAACAAAAAACATCTGCTTCCCCCTCCAATACAATGCATGAAATATTCAAAATCTTAATCAATGTTAAATTTCCTTGAAATTAATCACAGTTGAAATCAATATACATGATATCACAACCTAAATTTGAAAATTACCATCGTAAGAAAGCAATAGAGACTTTAAAGAAAAAAAAAAGAAAAAATTACATAAAAAGTCCTGACTTTATCAAAACAAGTATGGTATGTACATTCCTTATCATTCAACTCTGCAGTACATCTGGTACATACTATAGAAAGCATCATAAATAAGAAAAAACAGCTAAAACCAAAGGGGGATTTGTATTTGCGTTAAACTTAGAATGATAACAATATTTTAAGAGATTGTAACAATAACTTTATGAATGTGTGAATTTGATTTTATCAAGTATTTAAAGCATTACCCCACACAATAAAATGTTTCTTTTAAGTAATTTAAACTGTCAATAATAAACAAATTATGATTATATCAAAATGATATAATTGTTTTAATTTTGCTAAACTTTAATCCAAGTTTACATATAAAAAAAAATTAACAAGATTTAGCTGTTAGAACTACAGCTCTCATCTCTGAATTCTATCACATTGTGGTAAACCTTTGGTCTTCCTGGAAAAAAAATTTTTTTTTTAATCTGTTCAAATTTTGCAAAATTAGACAAAATTTAAACAGCATGACATTAAAGAAAAGTCACTAAATCAAGTATAGTATGCTGTATCATTCATTAACAATGGTCATTTACATCCTACTAACTGTAGTGTTTACTGTCAATGGGAGAACTGACCACATGTAGTGATGCCAATATCCCTGTCATATATACGTATGATCTCTTGGTGTGCTCCAACGATTCAAATGTAGTGGAACAGGAAAAGAAAGGGTTTGAAATATCACTGGATAGAGAATTACATTTTTTATTGAATTTTTTTTTTACTTGTCATTCAACCTCATCAGGGTTCGAAATATCACTGGATAGAGAATTACATTTTTTATTGAATTTTTTTTTTACTTGTCATTCAACCTCATCAGGGTTCGAAATATCACTGGATAGAGAATTACATTTTTTCTTGAAATTTTTTTTTACTTGTCATTCAACCTAATCAGGGTTCGATATATTACTGGATAGAGAATTACATTTTTTCTTGAAATTTTTTTTACTTGTCATTCAACCTCATCAGGGTTCGAAATATCACTGGATAGAGAATTACGTTTTTTATTGAAACAAAAATTTACTTGTCATTCAACCTAATCAGGGTTCGAAATATCACTGGATAGAGAATTACGTTTTTTATTGAAACAAAAATTTACTTGTTATTCGACCTTATCAGAGGTTTACCATAATTTGAATTAATAACACTACGATACTTGACTAACAATACAGATTAATCTGATTTCTATATTTTAAATTTCTAAGTAAATTCCTTAAATTCTTGAAAATCAATAAAATTGATAAACCAGAATTACAATAAAGTATAAGAAACAATTTTAACATACAAATCACATATCATGTCATAATTCTGGATATTTATACACATTTGTAATATAAAATATAACATTAATTGTCTATGTTTCTAACTGCCGTCAAAGCAATAATCTTGCCGCATACACACAATTTGACAAATGTACACAATAGAGATACAGCATATGAATAAAAATTCTACATCAATTGATTCTTATTCAAACTTACATACTTTATAAAAAATTGAGATGTAAACGTATATGAGGATAAAACAAAACAACAATCATTTTTCCCACAAATTTCCTGTTGTTTGTCAGAAATATGCTATACATGTATTAAAAGAAATGAGATATAAACGTAAAGAGAAATTTGTCACATTAAAAAAAGTGACATTGACATGGAAATTATTTAGAATTGTGATATAAACAGAAAATTTCAGTTCAACTAAAATATGACAGACATAGAATTGTGACGTTATTGATTAGAAGATATAGAAGTATGACATTAACAGATATTCTATTAACAGGGATATGACATTAACAGAAATCTGACAGATCATGAAAATGGTATGAAAGCATTTATACATATATGAATGATATCTTTAATGTTACACATCCTTCTAACATTATCATAACATATCAAGGTAAGGTATGTTGAGAAACTTCCTTTTAACAGATGTCTTCAGTAAAACAAAAAAGTGTGAATGTGAGAGCATCAGACGAAGACTTGGGCAAACGGCAAACATACCATTCTATTTATGACTTCTACTATGAAGAGTTTTTGGTGATGGACAATTTCTAACAAACCATTAAGAAAAGAGGAGTTCACATTTACCATTTGATACAAATGAACTGAATTATTGACATTTAATAAACCAGATTTATTTTCTTCAAGAAGAAAATCATCCACAGCATTAAATAACCAATCATCTGTTTCAGACAAGAAACTCACTTCAATCGACCATTTGTTGATCGTCATCAAAAATGAATGACCTTCACCTTCCAGAACACCTAATGACCTTCAGAAATAAGGGATGACCTTGAGAAACAACAGGTGACCTCCAAGTAGAAACACTGATAAATGATTTGAATGAGTGTTGACCTTCCAAAAATAACAACTTTCAACAACTGATGAAGGTTTGTGATTTTCAGGATATATAAATATATATGTATTGTCCCATAATATCAGGCTCTCCTATCATAAATTCCAACTTTGCAAAAATACAATGTTTCCATTTTCTGTTAATGAATGTGACAATACTATAAAAAAAAATGTGCAATTGTTTCAATATGAATCTTAAAATGCAAGCTACTTCACTGCTGTTATGTCAGAATGGAAAAATATGTTGGGGGGGTGGGGCGTGGGGAGGGGGGGGGTGTCCAATCATGTTATCCTCTTAATGTAATGATTTACAATAAAAAGTATATAATTATTTTCTGTTATTTGTTATCATAGAAAATCTAGAAAATTAAGTAAAATCAAGATTACTATTCATAATACAGAAATATAAAAATTGAAAATATTGAAATGAAATTTTTCAGTAAAAGTTGAAAACACTAAAAATTAGAGATGACATAAGTGTGCACTACTTCAGGAGATTCACAAATATGATACTGTACATTAGACTGCAATTGTACTAAGTACTGTAAGATAAGTTACACAAATACACAGTCTTATTGAAGAAGCGCTTAATATGCCATTAACTTTAAACATCACATATATCATGTGTACCGATAGATTTATTAGCAAAAAGTAAAAATATTGACCTGAAAACATAAACAGACAAAATAAAACAAAAGAAATAAATAAAAAAACTTCACAACAAAAAGGAACATTCTTTCATTATCAATTATTTCACATAAAAATTATCTTACGTTAAGTTTTTGAGACTAAGTAAATAGTAAATAAACAGTAGAGATTGGTCGTTTTTAATGCTTAATCTGCTTATGTACTTTTTTAATTTAAAAAACATTGCTAAATCAAATATCAACTTTATTTCTTTAAGAATAAAATGAGTTTCATGTTTTTAACAACACATTAAATTGATGAAACAGAAAATTTTCATTTGAGAAAAAGAAAGACAAATTTCTATTTGATTAAGAAAATCAGATTTTAGCCTTCAATTTTTCTTGGTCAATCACTTAGTTATTGTCCTTTCTACCATATTTGGATAAACTGATTCTCAATTTCTATAATAAAGTCTCCATGACATTCAGATACATTGTAAGTATCATTGAAAAATTCCAGGAAATTTTAAACATCCAATTTTGACTATGCTAGTATTATATATACATTATTCAATATTAAATCAAAATCCTTCCAATTTTGACAAAAAGATGACAAAATCAATATCGCAATATTTATTATACATTTCAAAAAGATCTGTTCCGTTAAATTTTGAAACAGCTAGACCTTGTGTCAAACAACTATCGACTAGACAATCCAATGTAAAATCAGACCCTGTTGTAATGATAATTAAAGGTTCCCAAAGGTAAATAAATCTACACCGATAAAAAGTAAAATAAATCAATAATAGGCAAAAATCTTAAAACTTTTCATCCAAGTTGTACTTGCTCTCTTAAAAAAATGAGATACAGTCACTTTCTATGGCTATGAGGAATGGTATTTTATGACAAGGAACAGTTCCAATTCTTCAAATACATTTACATACATTCGAAATATATTTTCTAGACTCATTAATTATGCATTTCATTCATAGCTACAGACCTAATGTAACACTGTCGCTAGTAGTGATTCAAAATTGCACGATTTTGGGTCTTTTTATCCTCTGTAGTAAGTCAAGTCCTGACATGATTACAGAAAAACTTAAATCATTCATACAAAGAATTTCATTGGTCCACTCCATGGTATACGACCAATCATATCAATGGATCCATTAAAATGAAATGAACTTTGATTGGTCACCTCATTAACCAATGAAACCAATGGAGTTTGTTAGAGAGGCTAAGGGAGACCTCTTTTGGAGACAATTCAATCAAAGGGGACATAACTCTTCAAACTTTGATATGCATGATTGAATGTCAAAGTCATTTATTTTTAATTTTGTCTCCTCTATACATCAGAGTGGGTTGTCGTCCCTCGGAACAGAACTGTCCATTGGTGTTCCGCTATAATCAGGGGGAGCTACACAGTAGCTGTAACTAGGGGGTCTTAAATCTGTGTAACAATCATCAACAGGTGGCGCAGTTGGAAGTCGAGGGTGAGAAGGTGTACGTTCACGTTCACAATTATATTTTTCTTTCAGTAATGCAGGCGTGCAGTCATCATCCACTTGGTCAATAACGCCACAACTCTCTTGTACAGGGCGGTACGACGTCTCTGTCAACAAACAGGATAATGATACACAAAACTGATCAGGAAAAATGTCCAGAGCATGAGAACTGAAAATTCCTTTTCTAATTATTTGAAGGGAAATATCTAGTTTTAGATTCTGATTCATAATAACAAAATATGACCTTTCGATGAAAATATTTTGATAAAAAAAAAGGAGATTGCAAATTCATTTATACTAATTGAAAAAAGAAGAAGTAAGACAGCAATGACCATTAACAGTGTATGTGGTTCTCTGTGGCCTTGGCATTTTCACTTTTAGTCTTACCCTGCTAAAAATTTGTGATAATTTTCCCAACAGGACAAACACAACAAAAGCTACAAATGATCCTGACCAGGACTGGGCACTTAATCAATATAGACAGTCAAAGTGCCATGTAAAGCAATGTAAAATATCTCCAGGGTTTTTTTGGAGGAGGAAACATCTTCCAAGTTTAATATGATATCTATGCTGAAATTTTCATCATGAGTAATGGGGAAAAGTAAATATCAAGGAAAGGATAGAGTCATCTTAGAACAGAACTAGGATACAAGAACATGATTATCTGGGAACAGAGGATGTTACCTGGAATAGAGGATATAGTTACCCACGAGAATGGAGATGGGTGTGGTTACCTGGAGAGATGAGTGTGTTGGAGATTGTGGTAGCTGGGGAATTGGGTGTGGTTAGTGAGAGATGGGTGTGTTGGAGACGGTGGTAGCTGTGGAGTTGGGTGTGGTTACCCGAAGAGATGGGCGTGTTAGAGATTGTGGTAGCTGGGGAGATGGGTGTGGTTAGTGGAGAGATGGGTGTGTTGGAGATTGTGGTAGCTGGGGAGATGGGTGTGGTTTATTGAGAGATTGGTGTGTTGGAGATTGTGGTAGCTGGGGAGATGGGAGTGGTTAATTGAGAGATTGGTGTGTTGGAGATTGTGGTAGCTGGGGAGATAGGTGTCGTTACCTGGAGAGATTGGTGTGTTTGGGATTGTGGTAGCTGGGGAGATGGGTGTGGTTACCTGGAGAGATTGCTGTGTTTGAGATTGTGGTAGCTGGGGAGATGGGCGTGGTTTATTGAGAGATTGGTGTGTTGTAGATTGCGGTAGCTGGGGAGATGGTGTGGTTACCTGGAGAGATTGGTGTGTTTGAGATTGTGGTAGCTGGGAGGATAGGTGTGGTTACCTGGAGAGATTGGTGTGTTTGAGATTGTGGTAGCTGGGGAGATAGGTGTCGTTACCTGGAGAGATTGGTGTGTTTGAGATTGTGGTAACTGGGGAGATGGGTGTGGTTACCTGGTGAGATTGGTGTGTTTGAGATTGTGGTAGCTGGGGAGATGGGTGTGGTTACCTGGTGAGATTGGTGTGTTTGAGATTGTGGTAGCTGCCTGGCGGTAAGTTTGCTGCTGATGTTTTCTCCGATACATTACAGCCAATAATATGACGGCCATCAAGAGACAGAGAATTACACAACCGAGCACTGCGCCCACCATCACAGTCATACTGATACCACCTGAGGTTGATTCACCTACAAACAATAAAACAGAGTACACAATTTATTTCACATAACACAATCACAGGAACCAGCATGGCTATCATGGCACCCACCATTAACGGAGACGAAAATTTAAGGGGAAAAAGAATGAAACATAGATTTTCGAGTCCTTTCCATGGGGAAAATAAAAGAGTTTGTATGATTTGATGAAATGAGATATTTGTCAAAAGGCAAACATGAAGATCTGTGACCTTCACTATCTGATACTTATATAGGGTAATAATTTTGTTACAATCAAACTCTGTACAGAGAAAACCCACTTATCATCATGATATCAAGTGATATTAAGCATTGCGCACATGAAATAAGTGGATTACATAGAATATATAGGGAAAAAATTGGTTTCAAGGAAACGTAATATATAACAGCAATGAGACACTAACCGATGTGACATTAAGTGCTTTCTACTGTACTGTAAAGAAGTAAATAATTTCTATCTAAAACACATTGGCCGTTCGTCTGGGTCAAAGTTCAGTGATTGGAATCATTTCTGACTATCTATAGGTTCCAATACATTATATAAGATATCAAATTGAAACCTCGATAAACTTGACATTTGAAGATGGAACTATATCATTAACAATACAGACAGAACTAATACCAAGCCATTAAAACACGTTAATGACAAGAAATATAATTTATTATAAAAAGATGCAAGTTTGACAACATAACCGAATCAACCTTAATTACCCTGTATACAACAGCATATGGTGAAATTTTATATTAATATTTTTTCCGTTGACAAAAAACAAATAAACAAAAAAATCAACAGACAAAATTCTGCAATTGAAGCAAAGAATATATTAGATTAAGTAATTGAACATATTTACAAGATATAATTAAGTTGTAATCGAAACCAGTGACTGCAATTTCTTTTTTGTCAAATAGGAAAATAGTTTCCTGATTGTCATGGGGTCGGGAACTCCCTCAGAAAATTTGGACATTGCAGAAGTTCTTGGTATTTCACCGCTGAATTTGCCGTAAATAAAAGTTCTGTAGGTCATTATGTATCTGTTTCCTTGAAAGCCACACCCCTTTAATCTATCATAAACATCTTGAGTTGGAAGAGTTTTGAAGCTTGATAATGAACGAAATTACTGAAATTCTTGAAAAAATTTTAAAGTGTGACTTTCAACGAAACGTATAATTTTTCAAAAATTTGGTGTTTTATTTACGGCACACTCTGAAAGAAACACTTAGAAGCCTATAAAATTGCGTCAGTAACAACTTCCCTGGGGTGTTCCTAACCTGCTGATTTTAACAATGTTAGACATGTAACGAAACAGTGAAATTCTGGTACAGGTAAGGACACTTACCATTGGCTTCAATCAGTTCTATATCTGCCTTTTCTTGAGAACACCGAGCACTGGCAGTCATTTGCAGTTCATACTTTCCCACCATCCGTGCCAGGTTTCCACGCAAATTCTCCAGTCTCACCACTGCAGTGGTACCACTGGTACACCAGTCACCACGTGCGGGGGCCCGGCATGTACCACTCTGTAAATATATATATTATGACTAGAAATACAAGCTATGCAATAAAATTAATGGTAGCATGTGACCTGGTAATCTTCAATGAGACACATAATTTACAAATTAAACCTAGAATTTCCAACAACCGGTAAATATGGTGTCACTGTAAAATAGCAGACTAACAGTAATTTAAGAATATCAAGAATTGTACTCCAATAGCAGTGGCCCACTTAGTCTAACAGTGATGTACATGTAACTCTGGTCCAACATTTAGTCTAACAGTGGTGTACTAACAGTGATGTACATGTAACTCTGGTCCAACATTTAGTCTAACATTGATGTACATGTAACTCTGGTCCAACATTAAGTCTAACAGTGGTGTACTAACAGTGATGTACATGTAACTCTGGTCCAACATTTAGTCTAACAGTGATGTACATGTAACTCTGGTCCAACATTTAGTCTAACAATGATGTACACGTAATTCTGGTCCAACATTTAGTCAAACAGTGATGTACACATAATTCTGGTCCAACATTTAGTCTAACAGTGATGTACATGTAACTCTGGTCCAACATTAAGTCTAACAGTAGTGTACTAACAGTGATGTACATGTAATTTTGGTCCAACATTTAGTCTAACAGTGGTATACACGTAACTCTGGTCCAACATTTAGTCTAACAGTGATGTACATGTAACTCTGGTCCAACATTTAGTCTAACAGTGATGTACATGTAATTTTGGTCAAACATTTAGTCTAACAGTGATGTACACATAATTCTGGACCAACATTTAGTCTAACAGTGATGTACATGTAACTCTGGACCAACATTTAGTCTAACAGTGGTGTACATGTAACTCTGGTCCAACATTTAGTCTAACAGTGATTTACATGTAACTCTGGACCAACATTTAGTCTAACAGTGATGTACACTTAATTCTGGACCAACATTTAGTCAAACAGTGATGTACACATAATTCTGGTCCAACATTTAGTCTAACAGTGATGTACATGTAACTCTGGACCAACATTTAGTCTAACAGTGATGTACACTTAATTCTGGACCAACATTTAGTCTAACAGTGATGTACATGTAACTCTGGACCAACATTTAGTCTAACAGTGATGTACACTTAATTCTGGATCAACATTTAGTCTAACAGTGATGTACATGTAACTCTGGTCCAACATTAAGTCTAACAGTGGTGTACTAACAGTGATGTACATGTGATTTTGGTCCAACATTTAGTCTAACAGTGGTATACACGTAACTCTGGTCCAACATTTAGTCTAACAGTGATGTACATGTAACTCTGGTCCAACATTTAGTCTAACAGTGATGTACATGTAATTTTGGTCCAACATTTAGTCTAACTGTGATGTACACATAATTCTGGACCAACATTTAGTCTAACAGTGATGTACATGAAACTCTGGACCAACATTTAGTCTAACAGTGGTGTACATGTAACTCTGGTCCAACATTTAGTCTAACAGTGATGTACATGTAACTCTGGACCAACATTTAGTCTAACAGTGATGTACACATAATTCTGGTCCAACATTTAGTCTAACAGTGGTATACATGTAACTCTGGTCCAACATTTAGTCTAACAGTGATGTACATGTAACTCTGGACCAACATTTAGTCTAACAGTGATGTACACTTAATTCTGGACCAACATTTAGTCTAACAGTGATGTACATGTAACTCTGGACCAACATTTAGTCTAACAGTGATGTACACTTAATTCTGGACTAACATTTAGTCAAACAGTGATGTACACATAATTCTGGTCCAACATTTAGTCTAACAGTGGTATACACGTAACTCTGGTCCAACATTTAGTCTAACAGTGATGTACATGTAACTCTGGACCAACATTTAGTCTAACAGTGATGTATACTTAATTCTGGACCAACATTTAGTCTAACAGTGATGTACATGTAACTCTGGACCAACATTTAGTCTAACAGTGATGTACACTTAATTCTGGACCAACATTTAGTCAAACAGTGATGTACACATAATTCTGGTCCAACATTTAGTCTAACAGTGGTATACACGTAACTCTGGTCCAACATTTAGTCTAACAGTGATGTACATGTAACTCTGGACCAACATTTAGTCTAACAGTGATGTACACATAATTCTGGTCCAACATTTAGTCTAACAGTGGTATACATGTAACTCTGGTCCAACATTTAGTCTAACAGTGATGTACATGTAACTCTGGACCAACATTTAGTCTAACAGTGATGTACACTTAATTCTGGACCAACATTTAGTCTAACAGTGATGTACATGTAACTCTGGACCAACATTTAGTCTAACAGTGATGTACACTTAATTCTGGACTAACATTTAGTCAAACAGTGATGTACACATAATTCTGGTCCAACATTTAGTCTAACAGTGGTATACACGTAACTCTGGTCCAACATTTAGTCTAACAGTGATGTACATGTAACTCTGGACCAACATTTAGTCTAACAGTGATGTGTACTTAATTCTGGACCAACATTTAGTCTAACAGTGATGTACATGTAACTCTGGACCAACATTTAGTCTAACAGTGGTGTACATGTAACTCTGGTCCAACATTTAGTCTAACAGTGATGTACATGTAACTCTGGACCAACATTTAGTCTAAAAGTGATGTACACTTAATTCTGGACCAACATTTAGTCAAACAGTGATGTACACATAATTCTGGTCCAACATTTAGTCTAACAGTGATGTACATGTAACTCTGGACCAACATTTAGTCTAACAGTGATGTACACTTAATTCTGGACCAACATTTAGTCTAACAGTGATGTACATGTAACTCTGGACCAACATTTAGTCTAACAGTGATGTACACTTAATTCTGGATCAACATTTAGTCTAACAGTGATGTACATGTAACTCTGGTCCAACATTAAGTCTAACAGTGGTGTACTAACAGTGATGTACATGTGATTTTGGTCCAACATTTAGTCTAACAGTGGTATACACGTAACTCTGGTCCAACATTTAGTCTAACAGTGATGTACATGTAACTCTGGTCCAACATTTAGTCTAACAGTGATGTACATGTAATTTTGGTCCAACATTTAGTCTAACTGTGATGTACACATAATTCTGGACCAACATTTAGTCTAACAGTGATGTACATGAAACTCTGGACCAACATTTAGTCTAACAGTGGTGTACATGTAACTCTGGTCCAACATTTAGTCTAACAGTGATGTACATGTAACTCTGGACCAACATTTAGTCTAACAGTGATGTACACATAATTCTGGTCCAACATTTAGTCTAACAGTGGTATACATGTAACTCTGGTCCAACATTTAGTCTAACAGTGATGTACATGTAACTCTGGACCAACATTTAGTCTAACAGTGATGTACACTTAATTCTGGACCAACATTTAGTCTAACAGTGATGTACATGTAACTCTGGACCAACATTTAGTCTAACAGTGATGTACACTTAATTCTGGACTAACATTTAGTCAAACAGTGATGTACACATAATTCTGGTCCAACATTTAGTCTAACAGTGGTATACACGTAACTCTGGTCCAACATTTAGTCTAACAGTGATGTACATGTAACTCTGGACCAACATTTAGTCTAACAGTGATGTATACTTAATTCTGGACCAACATTTAGTCTAACAGTGATGTACATGTAACTCTGGACCAACATTTAGTCAAACAGTGATGTACACATAATTCTGGTCCAACATTTAGTCTAACAGTGGTATACACGTAACTCTGGTCCAACATTTAGTCTAACAGTGATGTACATGTAACTCTGGACCAACATTTAGTCTAACAGTGATGTACACTTAATTCTGGACCAACATTTAGTCTAACAGTGATGTACATGTAACTCTGGACCAACATTTAGTCTAACAGTGATGTACACTTAATTCTGGACCAACATTTAGTCAAACAGTGATGTACATGTAACTCTGGTCCAACATTTAGTCTAACAGTGATGTACATGTAATTCTGGTCCAACATTTAGTCTAACAGTGATGTACATGTAATTTTGGTCCAACATTTAGTCTAACAGTGATGTACATGTAACTCTGGACCAACATTTAGTCTAACAGTGATGTACACTTAATTCTGGACCAACATTTAGTCTAACAGTGATGTACATGTAACTCTGGACCAACATTTAGTCTAACAGTGATGTACACTTAATTCTGGACTAACATTTAGTCAAACAGTGATGTACACATAATTCTGGTCCAACATTTAGTCTAACAGTGGTATACACGTAACTCTGGTCCAACATTTAGTCTAACAGTGATGTACATGTAACTCTGGACCAACATTTAGTCTAACAGTGATGTATACTTAATTCTGGACCAACATTTAGTCTAACAGTGATGTACATGTAACTCTGGACCAACATTTAGTCTAACAGTGATGTACACTTAATTCTGGACCAACATTTAGTCAAACAGTGATGTACACATAATTCTGGTCCAACATTTAGTCTAACAGTGGTATACACGTAACTCTGGTCCAACATTTAGTCTAACAGTGATGTACATGTAACTCTGGACCAACATTTAGTCTAACAGTGATGTACACTTAATTCTGGACCAACATTTAGTCTAACAGTGATGTACATGTAACTCTGGACCAACATTTAGTCTAACAGTGATGTACACTTAATTCTGGACCAACATTTAGTCAAACAGTGATGTACATGTAACTCTGGTCCAACATTTAGTCTAACAGTGATGTACATGTAATTCTGGACCAACATTTAGTCTAACAGTGATGTACATGTAATTTTGGTCCAACATTTAGTCTAACAGTGATGTACATGTAACTCTGGACCAACATTTAGTCTAACAGTGATGTACATGTAACTCTGGACCAACATTTAGTCTAACAGTGATGTACATGTAACTCTGGTCCAACATTTAGTCTAACAGTGGTGTACTAACAGTGATGTACATGTAATTTTGGTCCAACATTTAGTCTAACAGTGATGTACATGTAACTCTGGACTAACATTTAGTCTAACAGTGATGTACATGTAGCTCTGGACCAACATTTAGTCTAACAGTGATGTACATGTAACTCTGTACCAACATTTAGTCTAACAGTGATGTACATGTAATTCTGGTCTAACATTTAGTGGTCCAATGTCCAATGGTCCAGCAGTGGTCAATCAGTGGTCTAACAGTCATCAAATGATCCATCAGTGGTCTACAAGGGGTTTAACATTTGACAACAGTGGTCCAACAGTAAATTAAGAATGGTCCAATGATCCTACAGAGGTCCAGTGGTCCAACAGTGATCCAACAGCGGTCCATTGATCCAACAGTGGTCCAAAAGTGGTCCACCATTGAGTTAAGACTGGTCCACTGATGTTTAAACATTTATCAACAACAGTTGTCCAATCTTCCAGCATTGGTCCACCATTGGTCCAGTGATCCAACAGAGGTCCAGTGATCCAACACAGGTCCAGTGATCCAACACGAGTCCAGTGATCCATCAGTGGTACAAAGGTTCAGCAGTGGTCTACCTGTGGTCCAATAGTGGTCCAACAAAGGTCCGGTGATCCAATAGTGGTACAAAGGTTCAGCAGTGGTCTACCTGTGGTCCAAGAGTGGTCCAAAGGTTCAGCAGTGGTCTACCTGTGGTCCAATAGTGGTCCAAAGGTTCAGCAGTGGTCTACCTGTGGTCCAAAGGTTTAGCAGTGGTCTACCTGTGGTCCAAAGGTTCAGCAGAGGTCTACCTGTGGTCCAAAGGTTCAGCAGTGGTCTACCTGTGGTCCAAAGGTTCAGCAGTGGTCTACCTGTGGTCCAAAGGTTCAGCAGTGGTCTACCTGTGGTCCAAAGGTTCAGCAGAGGTCTACCTGTGGTCCAAAGGTTCAGCAGTGGTCTACCTGTGGTCCAAAGGTTCAGCAGTGATCTACCTGTGATCCAACACGAGTCCAGTGAACCAACAGAGGTCCATCAGTGAGTTAAGAGTGGTTCCTAATTGACAAAGGCTCAGTATTCCTAAATTTGACCTGGTGAAGTTTCACTGATGATAAATGTCATCAGATTTCTACTATAAAACAGGCATCAAAGAAAAGTGTGTTACCTCTGATGACAACAGTTGTGATCAACTGTGTAACTTTTCCAATGCCCATCATCATTACACATCAATAATGCTAGCTCTCTCGCATGAGTAGTGCTATGTTAATGAAAAATGCTGAGTAACATTATCATTTAACACATTGGGCTTGAATTTCATGCATTCGTAATGCCTCCATTAGAAAAATTGTCTATTGAATTTTTTAAGATCATTTTTTAAGCCAAACTGTTTACTTGAGGTTTTATCCTATGATGTTTCAATAAAATAAAGGTTGTGTATTTTGCTAATGAAGTGGAATATTTAAAGTTTATTTTTCACTTCTTTGAAATGACAACACACACAGGCTGAAACAATAACAGGCCATTCTTTGTAGTTTTAAGGTTAGTAAACTAAATATTTGCATTATTTTTGTGTCTTCAACCCTTGAAATGGATAATGAAGCTAGACATGTGAGACAAAGAAAATTGCAAATACAGTGATAATTGATTGATTCATGAGTTAGAGCAGAATGCTGGCTACAATAGAACTCAAGTAAATATTCATAAATGGTCTTGTCCGAGATAAAATTTACCCGAGTTCCCTTGTAGTTATTCTCCAAATAATCTGAACAATGTAGAAATTCAATCCTTCAATCAGCATTCCCCATCACCCTTGAATGAGGGTTAAAAATTGCCAAAATTGGTTAAATTCAGGACTTGTACTGCTAGTATTCAAGGACACTTCTATCAGAATGCATTGTTAACAACAAAGTAAGGATGGTACTATTTCTGTATTTTTTTTACATTTCACCATTTGCACCCTTGCAATAAGATCCGGGTTTATAAATGATACCTACAAATTCTGGTTTAGCCGTGCCAAAATTCCATACTCCGGAGTCATAGAAACTCAACATGATGTCACAGGTGGTGAAACGAAAGGAGTCCATCGAGAAACAGATCTTATTACACTTAAAATTCTTGTCTTTTGCTGTCAAACTTATGGCACAGGAGCCTGTGAAAAACTGGTTTCCTCTGGCACCAACGGACAAATAGTCACCTAGGCCAAGCACATACTCTTGTCCAGTGTTGCAGGGCATGTCAATATTGGCTGAAAGTGAATAATGAAAATAGAATGTAGTCTAAGACATCAAGGTCATTCCTAAATGTCTTAACAATACAAAATAAAAGTAGAAAAAATCTGTAATACACAAGCTTATGTTCTCCCTCCCATGAATAAAAATAATATTTTGAGAAAAAATTTCCATAAATAGTAAAAGTAACTCTGACCTTGGAACCCTAAAACATGAATCATCTGAGGTGTCATTGATCTTTACGTAAAGTTACAATAAAATTCTTTGAGCAATACGACAATAGCTGTAAGACATAAACACCCACCTTTCATGCACATTATTACTATATTTTTCTTAAATTTCCAGCTAAAGTAACAGTGACCTTGAAACACATTAACCCATTTAAGGATTCCCATGAATTTGTTAGGTCATGAAATGTCACTGAATGGTAGCGCTGTCGCAGGATCTGCCCTAGGTTAACCTAATAGCTGTAGGCAGACTTGTACTGTTAATCTACAAGAAACTTTACCACTCAGAATCCAGAAGTGATAACATTCATTGATTTTTACAGTTAAATGAATGAAACAACCATTCAAATCATCTTAAAATTTCTGGCTTCATCTAGCTATGATCAGAATCAATGTACATGGTTTAGCTGTGTACCTCACTTTGTGCATGACTGATCATCTCTTGCGTAAATTTAATTTTCATTTTCAGCCAATGACCCCTTGACCCCTACAAGGATTACCCTGCTCCAATACTGTAAAATCGTATATTCTTTTGAGGCTTGAGCAATTTTCATTGTATTTCCAAAAAATGCCAATTTTGCAGAAACTTGATTTCATTGATAAATAAAGCTCAAATAAATGTTTATATACACATACTTTTACTAGTTCATGGATGTTTGAATTCATGGATTAAAAGTACCTATGGAACCAAAAAAAATTAAACATCATGAAAATGAATGATTTTACATTATATGAACAGGAAAAAAACATAAAGAAAAATTTGTTAATGTTCTTTGACAACTACATTTACAAATGACGTTACAAATCTAAGTTAAATTGTGATGTAGACCTAAAAGAGAAACATTCACTACTAAATAAAAGTACATTTACAGAACTAACATCTTAATCTCAGAAATGCTCTGTAATCTCGGGAAAATAAATGATTAATTAATGTCGATATTAAAATTCCTTTCTTCGCCAATTGGATGAGTACCAGAGAATGACGAAAACATATTTATCAAAATCATTTCAACCTCATAATTGATGTATCTTTCTATAATCATCTGTGTATTTAGAAGTAAATGTTCTGTCCTTATCCATGTGCGTTTAAAGAGAACGGTTCTATCTGTAATTAGTAATTATGAGAAATCACCCGAAGTTTCAGTTTAAAATTTATTTCTGGAAATAAGACTCCTAACAGATTAAGAGAGAACCAACGTCCTGGTTGTCTTCGATCGTAGATCGGATCTTGCGGGAATCGAAGATGGATACCTAACAGTATTCAACAGAGCCCCATAAAGAAAGGTAGATACAACTGACATAGAAGATGGAACATCAACATCTAAAGTATAGTGTAATGAGCAGTTCAATACCACAGTCCGTACCTGCAGTGATCAATCTATAGTTTATTTTTAAGAGTCCTTTCCAACTTTTTGCTATGGATCACGCAACGTAAAATGGAAGTATTTCCAGAAACTCTCCTATCAAGATTTTACAAGTACAGGACTCGGGACTTGTAAGTAGCTTGATCACTGTACCTGCATGGTATTATATTTTCAATGACAATTGAATTTAATGTATCAAAACTGCTCAGGCAAGGAGATTAGATATACTTAACAAAGGTAAAATATAACAATTAAATGAAACCGTCCCATTACAGCCCCTGATCTTCTGATACTGTAAAAAAATTATTTTTATATGGAATTTATTTTCATTGATCTCGCAGTTACTCCACAAATTCATATTTTCATCAACTGTTAAAATTATAAACTTTCATATCCATGAAATCACGCTGTCGCCACAAAATAATAATTTTTTGAAAAACCACGAAAATTAGGCCCTACAAAAATAGATAATTTCACAGTAAACTCTGTCATGAAAAGTGAACAAAGGGCCACAACTCTGCAAACAATGAGCCCCCAAGTCAGTTACAAAGTATATCCCTACATCCTGTCCCATATTCCTTTCTCTATCAATGGACTGATCTGAGGTATATAGACAGACAGCTGTACTTCAAATTCCTACCTGATATCTGACTAGCTTCTCCTAAGTACTGTACACTCAATGCCACCCAGAATGGCAGCCATGAAGGAATGAAGGTGATAGTTTCCATGACGATACAATAATATGCCACCAGTGGTTATCAACAGGTCCACAGCGAGAAATCATCTGTAATATAAAAAAGATGAAAAATAATCAATTGTAATCAAGCAAGTTGTTATGTACATACCAACTCCATTAGGACGGCAAATTTAACAGAATGTAACGTTTATTTCAACACTTAAGCAGAGCAACAACTAAGAGATTTCATTTGAATTTAGCTGTTTAATAGTTTTAAAGTGAATCTTTATTCCTCAAGGCAGTTTTCAAGTCATTTTAACTTAATCAACTGTAGATTGAATTTTCATCTGATATCGATTTTAAATTGCATTTTACCAAGATGTATATCACACAATATTTGATTATGAATTTCTTATACAGTTCAAAGGTCAGATATATATTAAACAGGTAATGCCATTAACACTAAAATACATTAATACTAGCGAATTAGTTATCCTGAAGACGTTGCTTTTGTTTAAGATATCGTCCACAAAGGGGTTATTGCACTATAGTCTATCATAATCTCATCATATAACCTTTTGAGTTTTGACCAATCAGAATAGTGCATTCACTTAACTGCATCGAAAATTGTCAATTTTTCTGTAAAGAGTTGAATGATAAGATGATAAGGTTGAAGTTGTAAGGCTTTCATCAAATCAAATCTTTGCTGAGTATACTGTGGGTTTTCTTTAAATTTATATCTAATGACTGTTTTGAAGCAATTTCCAGCAGGTAAAAGCTTCCAACTGTAAAATGTTTCACTTCCAAAATGGCGCTGTCTTGTATAAAATTGTAAGTCGTTAACTCTGTGACATCAGAAATTCTGTTTCCTGCATTTCTTTTGAACACAAATTTGTTTCATATTTCATTTGACATTTTGCTGTTTGTGTCCTTTGAAAATGTGTAGTGATAAAAACGGAAATGTAATGGTTTCCCTGAGACTATAAAATATCATCAGTGTACATGTATATAATTGTTTCACTTGTGCGGCAAAATATATCAATAATCGTTTGCAAGTTACACTAGCACTGGTTAAATATATAATTATGATTTTCGAACAGAACTCATCAAATATCCTGTAAAATTATATGGTATCCGTGGTTACAGAATACAACAATTTTGTGATTATTAATGATATTTAATATGTATTTATTCATGTAATAGTACAGACGGTACATAGATTGTTCTCTACTTTTACATTCAAACAGACAGCTGGTGTCTACTAGGTAGTGTGATACACTCTGAAAAAACATTAAAGCCTTTCGCACGATTTCACTTAGAATCCATAGAAATAAAAACCCTTCCCTATTTCTGATCCAAAACACACATTTACATTTCTTGTACATACAAAAACCATTTCACAGTTCAGCATCCATCATTTATACTACATGTGCTACAAAATCTACCGTAAATGAAATGAACAAACTAAACGTAAATCAATATATTTGATCTTGATACAAACAGTTGACATGAAAGCGTTTTAATGAAAATGTCACTTTTAACAGTCAGTACAGGTTGTATCGTTCCTAGGCACTGCGCCATCAATACAAGCAAATTTCCAAGGCTTTACGATCATCACATTGCCTTCTGGTTTAACATTACAACTATATTGCTGACTTTTTATGAGTTGTTGCTTCAAATAAAAGGCTAAGTTCTTCCTTCAATGATAGAACAAGAATATTAATTTACAATGTTTCTGAATAAAAACAGCATAATGGATATATCTTATCTACAAAGAAACAGACTGGAGGGAGTGGGGGGTGGGGGATACTGGGAGAAATAGACTATGTAACATGGTGGCACTTATAACAACCATAAATGTCGTTATTTCAGACAGTTTAATGCTTATAAATGTGTTTACATTAATTAACTACCTATTTTTTGTTCTTTTGTCGTTTGAACTAAAATATCTACACTATCGACAATGCCATGTGTCAAATGGAACGATCATCTCGACGGAAATGTAAAAACGAAACTGAATAAAGAACTCAGACGTCTTCTGTAAAAATTGCATCTATTCTGCCTCCAGCTTTGAAATATGACACATCAAAATAACAAAATATGTAATGGTAAACAGAAAATAAAAGATCCAATATAACAGAATACAAAATAATTATCTGCCGTATAGTGTCTCATTATATACAGGGTTTACTGTGATACTATTACATACATTGGTGACTGATGAAAATCTGATACTGCGACATTAATAGGGTACAGCAGGAATATATCGTACCAGACTTAATATCATCAGTAATGAAATACAGAGGGTGTGGGATATTTTTGCTGTTGCGTCAAAAAAAAATTGAGGCTACCATTGATGTTGTACTGCAAGTAAAACTTTCGAAATAAGAATTGAATATTATCAGGTCTATTTTCAAGTCGTTTTATACTTAAACAAATTAAATTTTCGCATTCCCGATTTTAAGATTAAATTTTTACAATAATGTTGCTAAAATATGAAATAGCAAATAATATTCCCTTGAAAATATCTGGCTGTTAGGTATAACCTATGTTTTCCATGTGTATGTTTGTCATGAACTTCATCTTTGTAAAATTGATATGTACATTAAAAAAGCATTTCTCACTTAAAATATCAATTTTATTTATTTTTCAACAATTTGGCAAGGATGAAATCGCACAGGAGATCTTACTGTGGGAGGAAACAGGAGTACCTGGGGAAAACACACGTGGTCAGGCAGCTGAGCCCGTACCTTTTTACGTCCGTATTAGGAATCCAATCTCGGACAGCTTGGTGAAAGGCGAGTGCGTTTCCACTGCTAAGTCTGACAACCCTAACTTAACTTAACTTCCTAAAGACACTGGCAAAGTGATGGATCTATGTGGAAGAAAATGTGTGTGAAGTGAAGACATTGATAAAATGGAAGATTTAAAAATTTTGCTGTGCTATCTGTCACAGCCTTGAAGTGATCTGCTGGAGAGATCAATGTGTAGGTTGTGGGTAATTGAATTCTTCAAGGCATTTAATGGATGAGTCGACAGTTTAGGAGAAATTCTCCGGAAAAACACTCAGTGGCAGTTTTTATTGTTTCTGAAATTTTCTGAACAGGTTTCCTCTCAAATGACATTGTTTCCATTTACTCAAGTCTACTACATGAATTCAAGTAAAGAACTGCTTCAGGTTAGAAAAAACAAATCCTGAAAGGCCTGTTTCCATTAAGGGTATAAACTTGGAGACTTCATCAACATTGAAGAATATATATATATATATATATCAACATGACTGGTTACATTGAGAACAGAAGCTACTTCAGCTTAATGTAAACAAAACACCTGCTTAACATTTACTTTACCACATGCCAATGCTGTGTTTTAGATAGAAATTAATAGTGAAAACCCATTACAAAAGAATATTGTCAAATCCTTAACAGCCCTGTTAAGTATTTCTGTCTACAATAATGCTGTTTGACACATCGAGAATAGCCACTCTTCAGATCTTTTTTTACAAATCCTCCTACAAAGTTCAAAATAGCTTTCATTAATGATGTAATCATATATGGGGGACATTTTCCTTTGCATCTGAAAGGATAATTGTGCCCATATCTTTTCAAACGCAAATTTTTAAAAAATTTTAACTCTACCGTGAGCTATTATCATTGATTTCTGTTTGTAAGGGGAGATAAATGAATCATTCTGTAATGAATTTTGAGTTACAACTAATATTAAATTAAATTTCAATTCATATATTGTTCAACTGTTTCAAGATTGACAAAATTACATGTTATAAATCTAGTTAGCTGGCTCTAACTTTCTCGAATAGAAAATTATTTTTGTTCCTGTTTACAATTTGCTCTGCTCATATTTTTTATTTGTTGATTTCTCCCCTCCCCCCCCCCTCCTTTCCTCCCCAGGTTGTGGCTACCTCACTGAACAACATATGGGAGGACCTTCACATTCATGCCATTTAGAGCAAAAAGGTGAAGTGTCTTGCTCAATTACAAAACAATGTCAACACAAATCGGTCTACTTCTCAGCATCCTAACTGAAATCTAAAACAAAAACAGTATGGAGTATCAAACCAGATACCTACGAGTATTAATCGAGGTTACATGGGCTAATGCCCTACTAATGGAGATTGGTTGGTTGACAAGTTTTCCATCGCCATGACTCCTCCTGTGTCCGGATATCGTCTCACCAACAAACATCACTGTTCTGATGACGTTCTAACAGAGATATCAAGGCTCCTTGCTAATTTTGTTTTGTTTTACAGATCAGTCATATAATATCTAATGTTACTTCATTCAAAACATTCATTAATGCATTTTCTCATGTAGTGTACATTCATTTTATTTCCTAACCAGCATATTCCATCTACTGTATATTGGATGGAATGGTAGTCGTACTACAGAAACAGTAAGCTGCTAAATTCTGTTTATTTTCAAATCTACAACTTAAAAAGTTTCCTGATGTGTATATAATGAATCTCAATACAAATTAGTTTTCTAAATTGGAGAAAGTCCAAAACAATACGAAATATTTAGTTTATATATGATGTAGTCTGTAATGAATAAGTATGTCCTTGAAACATTACTTTGTTCCATATATATTATGAGAATATTCAAATTTGTCGTGGCCCAGGATACAGGCTTCTCCAATATAATTGATGTACGTGTTTTTGTTTTTATAGCCCTTGTGGATGACACCGCTTGGTTTCATGCTTGTTGCAGAAGCTGTGATTTATTGAAGGTTTTCCTCTGCAGAAAGCCTTGTGAACTTACTATGAAATAAGCTTGCAGTATTTTATAATTCTATTATAATCTGAATCGAAAACAAGTTGAACACTGGCAACTTCAGTTCAATATAAGATAAGCACAAGAAAGATTCTATTGTTTTTCAGGGAGAAATAAGGAAAGGTTACTTTAAAATTGCGATTGGGTTCATCAAAAAAAATTTTGTTAATAATATTGATGTCTATTTTTTTTGTTCTTATTTTCTTCAAGGCAATATTTATTTGTATAACACATTTGGCATTGAAAACAAATGATTTATAAAATTAATGGTCCCAGGTGTAGACCCACATTT